CTCTGACAAGCTCTAGGCAATCCTGCTTCAGCAGGGGAGTTGGACTAGATGATCTCTATGGTCCCTTCCAACTCTAAAAATTCAGTGACATTCAGTGAAATGGAGCTTCTGAAAGGAGGGTGAAAGCTCAGTTTTAACGAAGACCATTCATTTGGAGGGTTGTAACCGGCGGTTTGGCTGTTGTGCTCCTGTGTCCTCGCCTGTTCCACCACTGTCACTCCTTTCTCCTCTGCTGCAGGGCACTTTGCTGGGGTGAGCTGGCAGAGATCTCACCACAGCTTTGTATTTAATTGATACACACCGAGCTGTTGGCTGAGCCTCTTGTTCTTGTCACAGGATCATTCTGAACCCAAGACCACAACATTCACGGGGTGGCTCAGCTCCTGGTGGAGGAGATGGGGGTAGGATGGTGCCTTGAGGCAGAAAGAACCATAGTTGAATGCTTCCAAAGTCTTGGAGGAGTATGGAGTCTTGGAGGAGTTTGGAGCTGAATTCCATACACGGGAGCATTGCATTTAGTTGTAGGTAGTGGGGGGGAAAAAACAAAAAAGCCCTGAAAGAAAACTCACCGTGCAGAGTCCCCAGCTTTGTGTGTGTCGGGGGCAAGGGGAAGGGAAAAGCAAAGGAATTTACTGTTCTAATAAGGCAGAAACTCTCCTCCTTCGTCTCCGAGCAGAACCCTTCTGTGTTTCCAGTTGGTGACTCTGTCAAGAGTGGGAGTTGGGAGCCCGTTTCCCGGCCCACCAGCTGCGTCGTGTCAAAAAAGGCAAAAACGGGGAATAACGTGTGCGGCTCCGGTGGTGTAGCCCAAATTTTTGGGGTGGATGCAAAATGCCAAGTCCTTGTGGTTACTAAGGCACCAGCATGGGTCGTACGGCTCAGGTTTGGAGTTACAAACCACGTTTCTTTTCCGTTCCTGACTGTGGGGAAGAGCATTAATGGATTTGATGTTTTTTGGGACAAACGGCTGAATATGAGCCGGCCGTGTGCCCAGGTGGCCAAGAAAGACAATGGCATTCTGGCTGGTATCAAAAATAGTGTGACCAGCAGAAGTAGGGAGGTGATTGTGCCCCTGTACTCAGCACTGGGGAGGCCACACCTCGAGTGTTGTGTCCAGTTTTGGGCACCTCAATCCAAGAGAGATCTGGAGGTGCTGGAGCGAGTGCAGAGGAGGACAACGAAGCTGGTGAAGGGCCTAGAAGACAAATCATATGAAGAACGGCTGAAGGAGCTGGGGCTGTTTAGTGTGAGGAAGAGGAGGCTGAGGGGAGACCTCATCACTCTCTACAACTACTTGAAAGGACACTGTAGAGAGGTTGGTGCTGGTCTCTTCTCACAGGTAATTAGTGACAGAACGAGAGGGAATGGCTTCAAGCTCCAACAGGGGAGGTTTAGACTGAACATTAGGAAGGAATTTTTCACCAAAAGAGTGGTCGGGCATTGGAACAGGCTGCCCAGGGAGGGGGTGGAGTCACCATCCCTGGCTGTGTTTAAGGGACGTTTAGATGCAGTGCTGAGGGACATGGTGTAGGGGAGGACTTTGTAGAGTAGGGGAGATGGTTGGACTCGATGATCCCAAGGGTCTCTTCCAACCTAGACCATTCTATGATTCTGTGGTACCAGGGTTTGGCAGCTCTGGGAGTGATGGGGCAGGTAGAGGATTACATCTGCCTCTGGCCCTCAATGATTCTATGATTCTATGATACCAGGGTTTGGCAGCTCTGGGAGCGATGGGGCAGGTAGAGGAATACATCTGCCTCTGGTGGGGTGATGTTTTGAGGTGAGCAGCGAGGAAAAAAAAATGCTTCAAAGCTGGGAATCACCATGTCCAAAAGCGAAACCCCAGAATGATGTGTGCGTTATCGCGCTGTAAATTACCCAAGCACATATTTGCTTAAAGAGAAAGATGAAACCCCCGGGCTTCGAGTTGGTGGGGAATTCCTCTGGGTCTTTAAAATGCACCATTAGCTGGCTCATTAATTTTTATTTTTTTTTTTGCATCCTCCAAAATGCCCCCTCCCTTTCCCCCCCCAGCAGGAGCAGAGGGGTCCTGGCTCTGGCTTCAATACCCACTTTAAAGAACGCAGCTGCGTCTCTTGCCTTTGTGGGTTCCCCGTGGGGCTCTCCTATTCAGCTCACGTCCCACCTCCCCTTCCTTGCACGTTAATGTTCTTCTCTTCTCGTTAACAAACCTCCTCACCCTTCACAAAGAACCCCCCCCTTCAGCCTTTCCCTGTGGGGAAAGCGGGAGGATGGAGAGGGGTTTGGGTCAAGCAAAGTTGACTTTCCGAAGGGGTTTTGGGGTGGGATGTGCTCAGCATCATCCTGGCCTTTTCCAGGGAGGAGGCATCAGCACGGAAAAAGTTAGGGCAGGAATCTTAGGGAGAAAGGGAGGGGTTGTTCAGCCTGGAGAAGAGCAGGCTGAGGGGAGACCTTCTTTTTTTTTTTTTGCATCCTCCAAAATGCCCCCTCCCTTTCCCCCCCCAGCCTTTTGCCCTGTTCATCTCCTGCAGGAGCAGGGGGGTCCTGGCTCGTGCTTCAATACCCACTTTGAAGAACCCAGCTGCGTCTCTTGCCTTTGTGGGTTCCCCGTGGGGCTCTCCTATTCAGCTCACGTCCCACCTCCCCTTCCTTGCACGTTAATGTTCTTCTCTTCTCGTTAACAAACCTCCTCACCCTTCACAAAGAACTCCCCCCTTCAGCCTTTTCCTGTGGGGAAAGCGGGAGGTGGAGAGGGGTTTGGGTCAAGCAAAGTTGACTTTCCGAAGGGGTTTTGGGGTGGGATGTGCTCAGCATCATCCTGGCCTTTTCCAGGGAGGAGGCATCAGCACGGAAAAAGTTAGGGCAGGAATCTTAGGGAGAAAGGGAGGGGTTGTTCAGCCTGGAGAAGAGGAGGCTGAGGGGAGACCTTCTTGCTCTCTCCAACTCCCTGAAAGGAGGGTGTAGAGAGGTGGGGGTCGGTCTCTTCTCCCAAGTCACAGGCGACAGGACAAGAGGAAATGGCCTCAAGTTACACCAGGGGAGGTTCAGGCTGGATCTTAGGAAAAATTTTTTCCCTGAAAGGGTTCTCAGCCATTGGAATGGGCTGCCCAGGGAGGGGGTTGAGGCCCCATCCCTGGAGGTGTTCAAAAGATGGGTTGATGTAGTGCTGGGAGGTATGGTTTAGTGATGGTGATGCTTTTTGTTTGTTGTGTGGGTATCTATTTTTGTCAGTCAGGTTGACGGTTGGACAAGATGATCTTGAAGGTCCCTTCCAACCTAGAAGATTCTGTGATTCTGTGATTTTTCCACCCCCAGCTCCCGGAGGATTGCCCACCTGGATGATGCTCACTTGCTTCCACCAGTTGGACCAGTGTGGGGATGGGGGGGGTGTGTGACACAGGGGAAGGGACACCGTTGAGTCGTCACCGTCCAGACATTTGTCTCAGAGCCTTCCTGACTCGTAAGGAAGAATGAATTTTTTGGGTAACATTCTGTTTTGTGAGGAGGGGGCCTTTTTATTGTCTTAACAGTGGCCCTGGCAGAGGAGAGATGCCTCTCTGCATCCTCCTGATGGCAGAGAAAGGTCTTCTCCTCCCGAGCCGGTCCCGATATCCCAGCTCAGCTTTCTGGTCCCCACACACCTCTCTATTCTTATCGCTCTCAGCGCCCTTGCTGGTGCCTCGTGCCTGTTTTTCAGCATATTTTCCCTCTTATTTCATTGGCATCGAGCTCCACATTCCTCTTAGGAGCCTCTGGGATAAGTCGCAGGGCTCGGCTCGGCTACGAACAAAGCCATCGGGCTCCCACCTTCCAGAAAGGGGAGGGAGACGGGATTGGGAGGGGAGAGAATAAAATAGGACCAAAAACCCCCCCAGCAAAGCCTGCAGGTGGGGAACGGAGTGCTTAAAGAGAGTCAATTTTGACTTTTAGGGGTGATTTTTTTGGTTGTAAGAAGGTTTGCTTCCTAAGTTAAGCCTAGTCCCACCCCCTCCGTCGCAGCCATTGGTTGCTCTTGATGCCTCCTCTTTTGTATAAGGCGATGCAGCCCTCAGTCTGGCAGGCTCATGAGCCCCGCCGCCGCTCGCCGCCGGAGAAGCCAAAATGGGCAGGAGGTCGCCCTTGGCTCTCTTGGTGGCCCTCTGGGTTGGCCAGCTAGCCATAGGGGCGGCGGGGCGCTCCAAGGTGAACCCCAGGATCATCGTGGCCGATCATCACCTTGATCATCAAGGTAAGGGCTGGAAAGGGGGGGGCGGGAGGGGGGCGGGCTGCAGCCTGGAGTTGCCGCAATCTCTGCAGCTGGTATTTTCTACCCATGTCATGTCTTTTTGAGAAGAGTTGGTCTCTTTTTTTCTTTTTTCCTCTCTTCTTTTGTCTCTTCGAAGAGACTTTTGGCTCTCGTTTGAATGAGCTTGAAACGCCTGTGATCTCAGGAAAAGGCTCCTGGCTTCCTTGATTTGCTTCTAATTGAATTTTTACATCCCTCTTCCTGCCAAGTCCTTTTATGCTGTATATTCTAAAAAAGGTTTTCCTACGAGCTGGGTGTATTAAAGCCCTGAAACAGGGGCAGTAACCATTTCCCTGAAACTTGCAGGGGGAAATGGAGAAGTACGTTTGCATAATACGGTTAATTTTCTTTATTCAGCTGATGCCCTGTTGGCTGCTGCAAATGAGTTGTGCGAGTAAATATTTGCGGAGGCTCCCCCCAGGAAAATACCCACAGCTGAGGTGACACGCGAGGACTTAACGACCAGACCCCAAATTAGCAGAAGCTGAACAAAGAGATGTTTTTAAGGAGCCAGCTTAGAGCGCAACCCCCCCAAAAAAAAGGAAAGAAAAAGAGCAGGCTAACGTTTAATGGGTTTTATCCTGTCTCTTCTGAGCTTTTTTTTTTGATTAATACCCTCCAGGGAGGTTTTAACAAAAGACCCCCTCTTCTCCGTGGCCTTTGCTGCAGGGATCTCACGCTGCTCTGCGGTACAACAGCTCCTCTGTCCTCCCTCTTCGCCGGCAACTTCAGAGGGGGCGAGTCTTCCCCCCTCCCTCCCTTCCCCTGGTTTATTCTGCGCCATCTGTTATTCTGCCGCCGTTAGTTAGTTTATTATTGCCCTTCTCCTGCTCGGGAGCCAGAGCTGGGAGGAGGTTGGGTGGGTTTGAAGGGGGTGGGTGGCTCGGAGGTGGCCACCTCCCTGGCACAAAGGGGAGAGACAGCGGCAAGGGAGGGCAGGCAAAGGGGTTGCTCCTGGGACTGCGTCATTTATTGTATTCAGAAAGGGGAGAAGAGGAGGAGGAGGGGTGGGGGGGGGGGTACATCACCTATTTCTCCCATTTTTGGGGATGGCAGCGGGGGAAGTTGAATTTCAAGGGGTTTTGGTGGGGATGGAAATGGCTTTTGGGGAGTAAAACCGTGCCGGGAGGGTAGAGCCAGCCTTGGTGGCTGGTTCCTACCTGCCTCCGTGGGCTGTGCTCGGCATCCCCGCGCCCTGCGCTCCCTTCCCTGCCTCCTTTCCTGCAAGGATTCGTCCCCGAGACACACCGAAGCCAATTAGGGTTAGGACACTTCCCCTGTGAAAGGGATCAGCTCGTGCTTATCTCCGTTTCTCCTTTTCTTTCCAAGCTGGAGCTTAAGCTGGGACAGGGCCCGAGAGGGATTTCGCTGAGGGAGGTATCAGGAGGTGGCTAATTAAGTATCACTCATCTGTCCTGTTTAAACACGATTGCGTTTTGTAACCTCTGCCCTTTAGGAAGTGGGGCTGTGGGTGAGGAGGAGGCTCTGGAGGAGGGTGAAGAAATGGGACAGGGACAAAAAGGGACACGTGGTGGGTGGCGGGGAGCTCTCTGACTTCCCCAACGCGGCAAAAGGCAAACGCAGCATCTTGAGTAAAACCTGCAGGTCAGCAAGACTCCTGCTCTTGGGCATCTACAAAGAGAGACATATCCCTGGCTGGGCTCACTTTGGGGCTCCATCCCTGGTCCTGGAGGCTGGGAATGAGGATGAGGAGGAGGGCTGCGGGAGGTTGGGGTGGGTTTGGGCGGCCTTTGCCGTGGCGCAGCGCTGGCCTCGGCCCTGGGCTCTGTGGGAGCTGGCAGCTCGTCAACGTAATTAAATTTCTTCCACGCCGCAGCCCACGGCGAGCACCAGGTAGGGCAGCCTCAGCAAAGGCACCTAGAGAGGGAGGGATAGAGAAGGGAGGTATTCCCAAGGTGGAATCATAGAATCATAGAGTTGTCCAGGCTGGAAGGGACCTCCAAAGGTCATCTAGTCCCACCCCCCCGCAGTCAGCAGGGACACCCCCAACTAGACCAGGTTGCCCAGGGCCTCGTCGAGCCTCACCTTGAATATCTCCAGGGAAGGGGCCTCAACCACCTCCCTGGGCAACCTGTTCCAGTGCTCCACCACCCTCACAGTGAAGAACCCTCTCCTCATCTCCAGTCTAAATCTGTTCCCCTCCAGCTTGAAGCCATTGCCCCTCGTCCTGTCACTGCAGGCCTTTCTAAACAGGCTCTCCCCAGCCTTCCTGTAGGCTCCCCTCAGGTACTGGAAGGCTGCTATTAGGTCTCCCCGGAGCCTCCTCTTCTCCAGGCTGAACAACCCCAGCTCCCTCAGCCTGTCCTCGTAGCAGAGGTGCTCCATCCCCCTGATCATCCTCGTGGCCCTCCTCTGGACCCTCTCCATCAGGTCCATGTCCTTCTTATATTGAGGGCTCCAGACCTGCACACAGTACTCCAGGTGAGGTCTCACCAGAGCAGAGTAAAGTGGCAGAATCACCTCCCAGCCTGGATCCCTCCAGGAGGGAAGGGAATGCGTGTGGGATCCCTCCCCAGGGCTGTGGTGCTTGGGGGAGAGGAGAAAATGGGTTTTGGGTGAAGCTGCAGCCACCTTCTCATCTCTCAGCCTTGCTCCCCTCACCAACGTCCTACCAGAGCCATGGAGAAGAGCCCTGACCTTGCTGGGGGCAGCCAAACCGCTCTGATCTTCAGCCCCATGGTCCCTTCATGCTCTGATCTTCAGTCCCATGGTCCCTTCATGCTCTGATCTTCAGCCCCATGGTCTCCAGTTTGGTAGCAAGAAATAGGTGAGGGGACAGGGTGAGCTTGGGGGATAGAAGAAAAAAAACCAACAAAAAAATGACTGTAGCTGGGCTCAGGTGGCGAGGTCTGAAGACAAAGAAACCAAGTTGGCCCCTCTGGGTGCTTGGAGCTGCCTGGGTTTCAGTCATTTGGCCATCCTGGGGACTGGGACTTGCTGGACCGCCCCCCCCCCCAGCTCTGCCTTTCTCCTCCTCTAAAGCCAGCCCTGGGGCTGCTTCTTCTGCCTGGCTTTTGCCTCCCCAGTGCCGCAGTGCAGGAGGGGACAAGGAAAAGGCAGGATTTTCCCCAGCTGGGGAGCATTTGCCAGGGTATGGGATGGGGGGGACAACCCCCAGAGCCTTCCTGGCAGTGGGTGCAGGTGACGTGACCGCTCTGGGGTCCATCTGGGCCAGCAGTTATTTGAAAACACGTCTGACTCTGCAGGATTTCTTCCTCTTAGGGGAAAAAGACACTCGGTGCTGAGGTCAGCTGCGGACCACTGTCATATCTGAAGTGCTTAAGATCCTTTTTACTGACAAGGGCTCCCCCCCCCCGCCACCTTCCCTTTTGCAGCTGAGCCAGCACCCCACTCTTCTGACCGTGTCCTTAACGAAGGGAGGTCGTCAATGACGAGTTCCCTCTCTGCTGAGATTTGTGGAGAGGGTGCAAGCTCATCCCCAGCAGCCTGGGCTGGTGCAGAAGGCAGTGCTTCAGCCTGGCACCCTCTTATTTCCCTTTTATTTCCATCCTCCCCCTGCTTCCCTGGATTTTTTCCGAGCTAAACGCTGACCAGCTGGGCTTTGCTTTTGGGGGGAGGTGGTGGAAAAGAAAAGGTGTGATCCCATCCCACCCGGAGCTTTTCCTTGTCAGCACGGATATTGTGTTTATTTCCCTGAGCTGTCTGCTGTGTCCCGGGGCTGGGGTGAGGGAGGGGAGCGGGAGGGTGACATCCCAGGCTGGCTGTCTCCTGACCGGAAAGTCACCGAGCATGGGGACAACAGCCAGGACAACAAGGAGCCCCCAGGGCTGGGTCAGGCTCCTGCACCCTCAGGGTCTTTTGGGGCAGGATGGGAAGAGTTTTTAGCTGCTGCTTGAGGTTTTTTTCCTGCTTTACCCCACCTCAGGCAAAGTTACAGCCTCGTCTGTGGTTGCTTGGGGTGGAATGGGGGTCTGATGGTTTAATTATTCCCCTTTTTCTCATTAGCAGAGGAGGATGGAAGCTGGAGGGGGCTGGTTCTGAGCTGTGTGTAGGTCCCAGGAGACAAGCAGGTCCTGCAGGGGGGAAAGAAAGATTATACACCTGACCTTTGGCTGCCCCGACTGGGTGCTCTGGTCTGAGCCTGTCCCTGGATCATGGAGGCGGGGGAGAAATCGAAATAGCAGTTCCTGGAAATGGCCCACGCTGCCCGTAACGTCTCCTGGGCTTTGCCAAGCTCAGCTGCCTCTCCTTGCCATGGGAGACCCGTGCTAACGAGTACCTCTGAGTGCTTGGCCTCTTGGCCACAAGGGCCCATTGCTGGCTCCTGGAGAGTTTGCTGTCCACCAGGACATCCATATCCTTCTCAGAAGTGCTTCCCAGAAGATCCACCCCTAACCTCTAGTGGTGCCTGGGGTTCTTCCTCCCCAGGAGGATCCTCTTCTAGGATCTCTCCATGCAACGGGGCTGCATTCAGCAAGAGAAGGAAGAGGAGAACCGGCCAGAGGCGAGTATAGTGGTGCCTGAGGTTCTTCCTCCCCAGGAGGATCCTCTTCTAGGATCTCTCCATGCAACGGGGCTGCATTCAGCAAGGGAAGGAAGAGGAGAACCGGCCAGAGGCGAGTCCGAGCTCAAGAGTGGTGGCAAAATAAGAAATGGTGCTGTCAGCACCTGCTTTTACTCCTCGGTGACTGTTTCCTTGGGAGCTGCAGCCCCACGAGCGTGAAACATCTTTGTAGGACAGTTTCACATCAAGCTCTCGGAGCGTCAGCGTTTCCAGGAGGAAGCTTCTCACTTTCCCAGCCAGGCTATTTTCCGCAGCCGGCTCGTTTTTCACAGGATGGGGTGGTGCTGGTACCAGAAAATGTTGCTTGCAAATATTTTTTTTTTTGTTGTTGTGGGTTTTTTTGGTTTTTTTATTTTATTTTTTTTTGCTGGGCACAGATTGGAAACACAAACAAACC